CAAAATTAAATCAAAATTATTTAAACAACATAAACAGAACATAAACAAAACAAAAACAGAATTAAAGTACTAATAATTATCTAAACAAAGTAAAACTTACTAGACAGACTTACTGCCAAATTCTTTCAAGCTTTTAAAAAGTCAACACCAATGTTTTTTCAACTGTTCCATAAAATATAAGGTCAATGGATACTACAAAACTAAACCTGAAAAAAACAAATTACCCTGATACAAAACTTAATAAGAACACAACAAAAAGAGAAAAATATAGACTAATTTCTGTGATTAACATAGATGCAAGGATTCTAAATGACTGTCTTACAATATGTATTCCATAACACATTAAGAAGATCATACCACATGGCTGAACTGTTTTAAATTCCAGGGATACAAATGGATTCAACATAAGCAAAAAAAGAAGTGTAATAGAGTACACAAAGAGAATTAAGGACAGAAACTATATTATCCTCTCATCTGATGTGCTAAAGATCTTCAAGAGAATTCAACATCCCTTCTTTCATGATAAAGGCTCCAAAGAAACTAGAAATAGATGAACTATACCTCAATATAACAAGAGCAAAGTTATATGACAAATCTATGACTAACATTATACTAAATGGCAACAAAACTATGATAGTTTTCTCTAAAATTTAGAATAAGCCAAAAGTGTGCACTATCCCTTTTTTTATTCAATTTAGTGCTTGATGTCCTAGCTGGAGCAATATAATAAGAGAAAAAATAAAATATATACAAATAGGAATGAAAGAAGTCAAACTATCCTTATTTTCATATGGCATGATTCTAAATCATTGTGATTGTGAAAGACCTTAAACCCCACCAGAAAACTCTTAGAACTGATAAAACTTCCATCAAAGTGATAAGACACAAATCAACATGAACCATACAACAATAGACTTGCCAGGAAAAAATAATATGGGCAAATGCTGTTCAAAATAGCTTTAAAAATACCTGGTAATAAACTTACTCAAAGAGACAAGAGACCTCTATGACAGAAACTTCAACATAAGAAGACATTAAAAGCTAAGACCTTGCATACTCATGGACTGACAGAATTTATGTTGTAAAAAATGGAGATTCAGTGTAATCTCTATCAAAATATCAGCGATATTCTTTAAAGAATGAAAGAAAACAATCCATATGGGAACCAAGAAAGAAGCACACAGTCGAAGCAATCCTAAGTACAATGAATGATACTGAGGTTATCACCGTATCTGATCTCAAATTATATTACATAGGGGGCCAGGGAGATGGATCAGTGGGTAAAAGCACTTGTATTGCGAGACTAACCACCTGAGTTTGGATTCCTGGAATCCAAGTTAATGCAAACATAGTCTGTCCTCTGATCTCCACACCATGGTGAATAATCACTGTAGAGAAGAGATAGCCTAACGAATGGAAGAAAAACTTCACCAACCTTATACCAGACAGATGATTAATATCTAGTGTCTATAAAGAGCCACAATATTAAGCAGCAAAAAAACAAATCACTAAATCAATGTAAGTGCTGATGAACTGAATAGACAGCTCTCAAAAGAAAAATATGAGTGGCTAATAAATGCTTGAAAAAATCTCAACATCACTAGTCATCATGAAAATGTAATTTAAAAGTGCTTTGAGATTCATTCTCACCCAGTAAAATGTCTCTCATCAAGACAACTAATGACAACAATTGCTGTCAGGATGTGGGATAAGAGCGACCTTTATACACAGTTGATGGGGATGTAAACTTGTGAGGCTACCATGGAAACCAGTGTGCAGCTTCCTCAAAAGACTGAAAATAGAAAAATCGCATGACCTAGCTATACTACCACTCTTGGGGATGTGTCATAAGGACTTTAAATCAGCATAACATAAAGATGCTTGCTCTTCTATTCATGACAGCTAAGAAATCCAACTAGTCTACATTTCCATCAAGAGATGAATCAAATACAAATAAAAACAAGTAAATAGATAAAGGGTGCCACATAGACACATTGGAATTTTATTCAGCCAGAAAGAAAAATAAAATAGTGATTTTTTTTATAAGAAAATGGATTGAGTTAGAAAGCATTACAATAAAACAAACAAGTTAGAAAGACAACTTACATATGTCTCCTCTCATATGTAGAACTTCTATTTAAAGTAATATATATGTGTGTGTATGTGTGTAGGAAACTCTGGGTGATCTTATGTGGGGAGAGAGTATGAAATACAGGTGACATGAAAGCAGAAGTGTGAACCATTTGAAAGGAGGGGAAAAAGCAGCTGTAGTAGTGGGAGTGGCGGGGCTGCTTCCCGCCACCCGGCTAGCTTTACTCGAAATAATTACACGGAAACTGTATTCTTTTAAACACTGCTTGGCCCATTAGTTTTAACCTCTTATTGGCTAGCTCTTACATATTAATCTAACCCATTTCTAATATTCTGTGTAGCACCACGAGGTGGCTTACCAGGAAAGATCTTAACCTGCGTCTGTCTGGAGTGAGAGAATCATGGTGACTGCCTGACTCGGCTTCTTTCTCCCAGAATTCTGTTCTGTCTACTCTGCCTACCTAATTTTCTGTCTTATCAAAGGGCCAAGGCAGTTTCTTTATTTCACCAATGAAATTAACACAAAACAGAAGACTCTCCCACATCAAGCATTCAGAGAGGAGAAAGCCCTGGAAAGGCTGTTGGGAAAGGGAATGCATCGCAACAAATCAGAATGACTAGTTGGGAAGAGGAAGGAAATAAGGAGGTAGTGTTTGAGTATAAGAGAAGTGATTATAACCAAAAGGCATATATGCATGTATAAAAATGTCACGTTGAGACCCATTAATTTGTCTTATTGTTTGTCTGTTTGGGTTTTTTTAGGCAGGGTCTTACTAAATAGCCCTAGCTAATCTGAAACTCACTGTGAAGACCAAGAGGACCTTGAACTCACCAATATCTGCCTATCTGTGCCTCCCAAATGCTTCAATTAAGGGTTTGCACTACTACAGCTGGCCCTATAATTCATTATTTTCTACAGTTGATATGTGCTAACAAAAATGCCAAATGATAGACCAGTGAGATGACTTAGCAGGTAAAGATACCTGCTGCCAAGTCTAATGGCCTAAGTTTAATTCCAGGGCCCCACAGGGTAGAAGGACAGAATTGACTTTGGAAAGTTGTTCTCTAGCCTCTACATCCATGACATAGTACTCACATGTGCACAAACACACATGCAAACTAAACGAATAAAATGATTTTTTCATGCCAAAAGCAGGGCTGTACAGATGGTTCAACATTGAGGCGCTTGCACAGCTCTTGCAGAGGTGAGTTCAGTTTCCAGCACTCATGACTCTTGCAGCCTCCAGTAACTCCAGCTCTAAGGGATCTGTTGCTCTCTCCTGGACTCTATGAGCACTTACAAACACATACACGACACACACACACACATAATTCTTATTTTTAAACTTTTATTTTTAAAAAACTTACATAGCTAGATGTTTTGCCTACATGCATGTCTGTGCACCAATGCATGCCTGGTGTCCAGGGAAGCCATAGAGCGTGTTGGATCCCCTGCATCTGGAGTGATAGATGGTTGTGGGTTAGTGTGTACATGCTGGGAATCAAACCCAGGTCCTCTGGAAGAGCAGCCAGTACTCTTATCTTCTGAGTCATCTCTCCAGACCCACCACACACACACATAATTATAAAACAAATGTAAACTTTTTACATTTTTTTAAAATTTTTAACATAAACCTTTTTAGAAAGACCAAAAAGAAAAGTACCTAAGTCATGACAGAATCTCAAAGAAGGCATATTCACTAGCGCTGAGCTTGTAAAGGGAGAAACTGCTGCCTGACTTCAGAACTCTCACTAAAGGTTTGGGGATGAAGCCAAAGGGTAGCATTGACCGGTGAATGAAGAACAACAGTAAGGTCTCTAATGAGAAGATGGAAAGGGTGGTGTTGACAGATGCAAGACACAGAACAAAGAGAAGAAATGGGTTTAAGCATGGGAGAAGGAACTTGAACAGCTTTGCTGTATTGGAATAAGCTATCTAGTAGCACAAGAGATGGGAGATATGCCAGAAAAATGGGTAATAAAATTTCCTAAAGCCCTTGAAGAAAACCAAGGGGTGTACAGACCAAAAATCCTGGCACTGCAGAGGATCAGGAGTGAGTCCACAGCCAATCTAAGCTACATTGCAAGAACCTATCTTGACAAATAAACAGACAGATAACAAGCATAAAAGCCTGGAGGAACTAGAATAGAAATAACTGGCATCTAGAGTAAGATTGGAGATTTAAAAGCAAAGCTGAGGGACTTGTGTCGCTCATATATTTGACTTAGGGAAATTGGGACTACAAAGAAATTTGGATACAGAAACAGATGCATGAGACAAGGAGTTGAGCCATAAAAAAATTCCCCAAAGCACCCGCTTTCTCCAATTCCAGATTGGAAATTGTTGTCAAATCCTATCTGTATGGCATCTCAGCACTAAGGAGATGGAAGCAGGCGAGTTGAAAGGTCAATGCTAATGTGGAATCTACAGGGAGCTCAGGCCTTAAAAAAGAAAGGGGACGATGGAAGAGAAGGAAAGGAAGAAGGGGAGGAGAAGAAGGAAGAGGACAAGGAGTGGGAAAGGGAGCGAGAGAGAAAAAAATCCATACCAGATGGGGTGCCAACATCCAGAAACTCTGAGGAAACACTGGACTCACTGCGGTCCCCAGGACAGCTGTACTATCATGACCTACTTTACGAGCAAACACGCAATTTATCAGATGAGCCAGAGTTATTTGTGCTACTGCATTTTGGTCCCTGCAGGAGGTGCTGCAGGTCTCACAGCCCATGTCTATGACGTCCCTTACGTGTTAATCCCTTGCATGGGAGGAGTTGGTGTTAGTGGCTTCAGGGCTTTAGTCTAGATGAGAAGGGGGAGGCAAGTAGGTAGGAGCTAGGAGTAAGGACTGGGCAAAGCACCAAGGTGAAGGGCGAGCCCATTGTGTTCCACTCCTTAGGCAGGTTCAGCCATGGCTGTGGACTTTGGGGACCCCAAGAGCGGTTTCCGCCACTGCGAAGTGGTTTTGTTCATCAATGAAGAAGTGCTGAGGAATGGTGGTGGCCCTGGCTTTTACCTAACCTTCCGTTCACGGCCCTGGAAGGATATAGAAGACGGCCTGAAGTCTGTCGTGGCCGATACCCACGTACCACGCACCATCAAGAGGGCCTGCGCCTGGAGTGCTCTGGCCTTGGGAGTAAGGGTGGCGTCGAGGCAACGAGAAAAGCAGTCACGCCGTGTGCAGCAGCTGCACAGTCAAGTAGAAGAGCATGAGGCAGCCACCTGGACCTTGGCCACAGACCTGCAACGGCTGCGTGATGAGCGTGATGAAGTGGTCTCTGAGCTCCGAAATGCAAGAGACAGCCTGAAGCAAGTGCTCCATGAGCGTGATATGCTGCACAAGAAGCTGATTGAGTTCGAGCTGTCCCAGCAGCTCCTAGCTGAGTCACAAGATGCTGGGTATCCGGGTACTATGCCGTGGACTCTAATGGTCAAAAGACAGAGAAAGGCTCTTGCCACAGGCTTGCAGAATGGGCAACATGCAGCGTCCCCGAAGAAAGACCACATGGCATTCAAGTCATCCAAAACAGGTACACCAAGATTCACTGGTCCTTGAGCCTAGACCCCGCAGCCGCTTCTACCAGTGTTCTCTGCATTATTGTCAATAGCATCTCCTCCCCATATAGAGTACTCTCAGAAGGGGAAGAAGGAGATCCATCCACTAACTCCCTTCCTAACAGTTGACCACAGAGGGATCCCTGTGCCAGTGCCGGAGGGGCCAAACTCATGGACAGAAACTACCAGATATAACGAGGGGAGCTGAGAGGCTTTGGCCCCAAACAAAGGCCCTCAATGAATTCAGGGAGAAAAAAAATGAATGGAGATGTATTCCAAAGAGACATCATCTCCTGGGGGCTCTTTCCTAATAAGTGTTCATTCTTTCCTTTTGTTTACTTTATATACTATTTGAAAACTCATCAAGTAAGACTTTAAACTCTTCCACTACCAAACAATAACCTCTGAGCTTCTTTGCTTGCTGTGCTAGGGGATCTAACCCATGGCCTCCTGTATGCTAGGACAGTGCTCTACCAGTGAGCTATACCTTTAAGCTGCAATTACCCTCTTTTTTATTTTTTTATTGATTTTTTTTTTTTTGGTTTTTCGAGACAGGGTTTCTCTGTAGCTTTGGTGCCTGTCCCGGAACTAGCTCTTGTAGACCAGGCTGGCCTCGAACTCCCAGAGATCCGCCTGCCTCTGCCTCCCGAGTGCTGGGATTAAAGGCATGCGCCACCACCGCCCGGCTTTTAATTGATTTTTATTGAGCCCTATATTTTTTCTCTGCTCCCCTCCCCTTCTACTCTCTCCCAAGGTCCCCATGCTCCCAATTTACTCAGGAGATCTTGTCTTTTTCTACTTCCCTTGTAGATTAGATCTATGTATATCTCTCTTAGTGTCCTCTTTGTTGTCTAAGATTGTTTTGTTCTCTGGGATTGTGCTTTGTTGGCTGGTTTTCTTTGCTTTATGTTTAAATACCACTTATGAGTGCGAACATATGATATTTGTCTTTCTGAGTCTGGGTTACCTCACTCAAAATGATGTTTTCTAGATCCATCCATTTGCCTGCAAATTTCAAGATGTCGTTATTTTTTCTGCTCTGTAGGACTCCATTGGGTAAATGTACCACATTGTTCTTATCCATTCTTGGGTCGAGGGGCATTTAGGTTGTTTCCAGGTTCTGGCTATCACAAACAATGCTGATATGAACATAGTTGAGCACATGTCCTTGTGGCACGGCTGAGCATTCTTTGGATATATCTCCAAAAGTGGTATGCAATTACCCTCTGTAGCACAGTAAATGTAATTGCATATGTGGACCTCTTCTCCAGATTCAGTCATATATATAATTTGTGTTGAATTGAAGGATGAAATTCCACTGAGTGTGTTCATTTATCTTTAAAAGGAAAACATCTCCAGTTGCAGGGATGTTTACAAGTGAAGAGTAGTTGCTGTATTTAGCTACCAGTGTGAAGAAGCTGATGTTTTGGAACATTCTCTTCTTTCTCTGTGCTCTCCTCAGTCCCCTTCTTGCGTAACTCCAGATCTTCTGAAGGGCACAGCTATGTCTGTAAAACAAAAGATGCAGTGTGCTCCAGGTACATTGCTTTTCCTCTGAGAGCGCGATTGCCGTTTCTTTCATTTGTTTTTCTAACATTCACGGGTGCTATTCTTTGTGTCTCTAAGTTCTAGAAACTTTGCGTGAAGGAGAAGAATTCCCAGCTTCCAGTGTGTGAGTCTTCATGAAATGTCCTTCAGCAGCAGCCTCTGCCTCAGTAAGACCTCAGCTAGCTGCTGCTACAAAGAACATGAGGAACTGAGGAGAAGAACATGTCTGGGTATATATTTTAGAACAACAAAAAGCATACAGGTTTTGTTAGAACTTAACCCACTGACATTGCAGAGTTCAAAGGGATTCGCGACCAATGTAAACTTTTAGAGGATGTCACAAGTTTGTGGAATTTCATTCATTAGTTCATTGAACGGTTATTGATAAGTTGGCATATGGTAGAAACTGCAATTACATTACCCGGTATGCACATTAGAATCCCTTTGGGTGTGGTTGGTTAGGTGAGAGTAGAGAACATAATTTCAGACACGGTGTGGGTCATGATGTCCTATGATCCTGCATGAAATAGAACCTTTGGAGAAACTCTATTGAAAAAAATATCAAGATCCATTTCTGTAAGCTGGGGGGGAACAACATTAAGACACTTTTATTTGGGAAACACTGATGAGAAAAATAGCCTTGTTAAAATTTCATTTCTCCCTATATCAAGGGATTAATTTGGTAATTAAGAAAGAATTTTAAAAGCTATATTATTAATAGTAAATTTGATAAATTTTGCATAATTCATAAAACAAAGTTATTGATTGCTTGGGGATTTCTAGGAGTTGGAACTATGTTGTATATTAACTGGTACCCATCATAATTCTTCTTGGTTAGTATAGCAAAGAAGTAGCATAATTTAGGATACAAATTAGATCAGAACTGTTTTTCTCTGTCTTCCATACAATGTAGTCCTGGATAAAACCAATAGAAAGAATAGCTGGACCCCCCCTTTTTTTTCAGTCAGTTTAGGGACAACATGAAAACGATCTTCATGGATGGATTTGAGTGACCAAATTGCTCCTCTTCTTAGTCTCAAGATGAACAAATGATCACTAGCCAAGATCAGGAAGGTGGCTTCATGAAAATACAGGCAGGGCTTTTCTGATCCTCTGGCCACTTCCTCTCTTGAGGTGTTTTCCTGGCTTCTCACCAGCCTACCTGGTGTATCACTAGGTTGTCTTAAAGTATTTAGGACAGTGTTGGCTACGCTCCCCAGCCTTCCATCCTGAGCTGCCTGCATCTCCAGTCCCTCTCCTGTCAGACTCGATGAAGAACATCTGGGGGACCACAGCACTCCGTATGGAGGGTGCTCCCTTGGAAGGATTAATTGGGTTTTAAATAGAACTGATGTGTGGGAAGGCACCCTTCCCAGACTCCTCTTCCAGCCAGTGTAGGATTTGCAGTCTTTCTATTCCCCCGGGTCAGTAGCACAGCAAGGCATGGAGGAGCCTTGGTGGAGTTGGGCCTGCTAGGTTGGAGCCACCTTCAGTCTGACGCTACAAGTATCCCTGAGATCCCTGAAGGATCCTGCCTAGCTAACCAGGAGGTGCGTTGTCAACGTGTTTCTGATATTAATCGGTAATGGAGAGTGCACTTGCCTGGGGCGTGTTTTGTGTAGCTTTTATTTCAGAGATTTGTTCACTTTTCCTCCATCCCCATGAGGTAAAGGAAGTTCACCCTCATTCCCTGTTGGAATGTCGCTCCTCTTGTGATGATTACCAAGAATTGGAGGCATCTCTGTGGGGCCTTCAAGCCATTGTAATTTTCCCAGCTACTCTCATTATGTGAGTCTGCATGGGCCCTTGAAAGCAGGCATATTTGCAGTTCCTGAACTAGGAGAGTGAGGTGGGTACTCCCCCTCGATAACTGGGGCCCAATATCCCATTGTGAAACAAGAAGTCATTATGCTGTGGCTGCCCAAGGTTACCTAATATAAGCAGAAGAATCTCCTGCTTTTCTGCCCTCCAAGGCTTTGTCCCCATACTCCTTTCTTCCATCTTTCCTCCTTATTTCCCCTCTCTGTTCTCTCTCTCTCTCTCTCTCTCTCTCTCTCCCTTCTTTCTTTCTTTTCTTCTCCTCTTCATCTTCTCCTCCTCTTCTTCCTCCTCTTCCTTCATATACTTTAAAAAGAACTGGATACAGATATTGTTTGAAAGTCTGGTAAGATTCTGCTGTGAATTCATCTGACCTTGAATTTTTTTTTTACCTGAAAGGCATTTTTATTATTTCAATCTCATTTGTTATGGGCCTGCTTAGGTTGTTGAGTTCTTCTTGGTTTAACATTGGTAGTTTGGATGAATCTAGAAATTTATCTATTTGTTTTAGGTTTTCTAGCTTAACGGCATACAGGTAGTACATTTAAACATATTCCTCTATAATACTGGGAATTTCTTCAATATCTATTATAAAGTTTCCCTGTTCAATTCTGATTCTGATATGGGTCCTCTCTTCCTGTTGGTTAGTTGGGACAAGGGCCTATCAAGCTTTCTTATCTTCTCTAATAACCAGCTCTAGGATTTGTTGGTTGTATTGTTTTGTTTCTATTTCGTGATTTCTACACTAATATTTATTTTTTGTCTTAAACTGAATATGGATTTAGTTTGTTCTTGTTTTTCAAAATTTTCCAGTTGCATCATTAAGTCATCTGTGCTATTTCTGATTATTTTTATGTAGGCCCAGCTGTCATAGGGCCGCTTTCATTACATCCCAAGAGTTTTTTTTTTATGTTGTATTTCATTTTCATTTAGTTACAGAAAGTTTTTTTTTTTTTTTGGTTTTTCGAGACAGGGTTTCTCTATAGCTTTGGAGCCTGTCCTGGAACTAGCTCTTGTAGACCAGGCTAGTCTCGAACTCACAGGGATCCGCCTGCCTCTGCCTCCCAAGTGCTGGGATTAAAGGAGTGCGCCACCACCGCCCGGCTACAGAAAGTTTTTGAAATTTCTTTCATGATTTCATCTTTGACGCAGTCATCATTCAGTAATGAGTTGTTTAATATCTGTGTTCGTGTATAATATCCTATGAATATGTTAAGTGATATATAACATCAATTAAGTCTACTCTTTCTCAGTTTATTTTTTGTCCAAATGACCTGTTTATTGGAGAAAGTCGGGTATTGAAATCACCTACTATTAATGGATTGTTGTTAATCTCTGTCATTAATTGGGTAATGCATATTTATGAAACTGAATACCCCAGAAATAGATGAATACATGTTTAGGATAGCAGTGTCTTCTTGGTTAACTTGTTCACTTGATTAATGTAAAGTATCCCTCTTTATACCTTCACATTACTTTTAGTTTGATTTCTATTTTGTCAGATAGTAGGACAGTGCTGCCTGCTTGCTTCTTGGACCCATTTGGTAGGAGTACTTTTGTCCATCCTTTCACTCTAGAGCAGTATCTATCTTTAAAGCTGTCTTTCTCTACAGGGAAGGGGCATTTTGAGACAGGGTTTCTCCGTGTAACAACAGTTCTGGCTGTCTTGGAACTAGCTCTTGTAGACCAGGCTGGCCTCAAACTCAGAGATCCACCTGTCTCTGCTTGCTGAGTGCTGGGATTAAGGTGTGCACCACCACTGACCAGCAAAGCTGTATCTTATAGAGAACAGACAGGTGGATTCCGCTGATTCATTCAGTCAGACTGTGTCTTTTGATCGATTAAGGCCATTGATATTTAAAGTTATTATTGAGCCAGGAGGTGATGATGCATGCCTTTAATCCCAGCATTTGGGAGGCAGAGGCAGGCAGATCTCTGTGAGTTCAAGGCCAGCCTGGTCTGCAGAGTGAGTTCCAGAACAGGATGCAAAGCTACATAGAAACCCTGTCTCAAAAAACAAAACAAAAAGCAATGTTATTATTGAAATGTATGTGCCAATTACGTTCATCCCATTGTTGGTTTTTTGGTACTGCGTTCTCAGTTGTAGCTTGTGTTTTAATAATTATGGATTCATATTTCTTTACACAGTCTTTCTGCTCTGCTCATTTCTCTCTTTAGCCAGAAATAACACTTCCTCTATTTTCTTTAGGTATGTTTTGTTTATTTAGGTGTTGTTGGGTTTGTTGGATATACTTTTTCAACTTTTAAATTAGATTTATTCATTTTATTTTATGTGTTTTTCCTGCATGCATGTATGTGCACCACATATGTGCTTGATGCCCACAGAAGTCAGAAGAGACCATTGGATCTCCTAGAACAGGAATTTCAGATGTTGTGAACCACTATGTGGGTGCTAGAAAACAAACCCAGGTCCTCTTCAAGAGCAAAACGTTCTCTTAACTGCTGAGTCCTCTCTCTATCCCCACTCCAAAGCTAATTCTTTTTTATTATTTTTTTTCTCTCTCCCCTTAATGTTGAGAGTCCCAGAATGACACTAAGCTGCACAACCATAATGTATATGCAGAGGATCTAGCTGAGATATATATACAGGGTCCCTAGTTGTTGGTTCAGTCTATGAGCCCCTATGTGCTCTGATTACTTGATTCTGTGGGCTGTGTTCTCATGGTGTCCTCAACCCCTCTGGATCCTACAATGTTTTTTCCCTCTTCTTCTGTTGTTCCCCTGGCTCTACGTAGAGTTTAGCTGTAAGTCTCTGCATCTGCTCCCATCAGTTGCCTTCTGATGACAATTGGGCAAGGCACCAATTTATGAGTATAGGCAAATATCATTAGGAAACATTTCATTAATTTTTTTCTTTCATTTTTTTGCCAGTAGTGTTTGATTCTATCCTGGGTCTCTGGGCTGGCCTGCATCTAATTCTTGCTAATCCAGGCAGTGTCAGACGTGAGCTCCCTCTCCTTTGCTGGGCCTCAAGCTGGACCAGTCATTTGTTGGCCAGTCCCAGAAGTTCTGTGCCACCACTACCCCAGCATATCTTTTTTTTTTTGGATTTTTCAAGACCAGGATTCTCCATAGCTTTTTGGTTCCTGTCCTGGAACTAGCTCTTGTAGACCAGGCTGGCCTCGAACTCACAGAGATCCGCCTGCCTCTGCCTCCTGAGTGCTGGGATTAAAGGCCTGCGCCACCACCACCCGGCTTACCCCAGCATATCTTGCAGGCAGGACAAATCATAGGTTGAAGGTTTTGTGGCTGGGTTGATGTCCCAGTTCCACTGCTAGGAGTATTGCCT